TTTCCCTGTCTTCCCTGGGCACCGGGAGGAACACTCCTGTCTCCAGACTCTCCTGGAGGTCCCGGTTCGCTCCCCTGAAACGTCCTGAAAGTCCAGCCCATCCAGAGCACACGCCAGTTTCCGGGAAGCCGGGCAGTAACTTTTGCTTATCCTGCAACTCCCCCTCCTGGTTCTCATTGCTCCGGCTTCCACTGATGTGCAAGGTCTCTTTCAAAGAGGAATCCCCTGTTTATCGGGGTGCTCTTCCCTGACTGACCCATGACCACGCAGCGGCATTTGGGTTCCAGCAATACAAAGAACAGCGACCTGAGTGCATGCGGGTGCCTTCGGGGCCGCAAACGGAGGGCTCCACTCCTTCCTCTGCCAGGCCTGTTCCTGGTCCCAGCTGGCTTTAATCTCTGAACACTGCACCGCGGTCAGATGTAGCCTCCTGAGCTCCATTAAGACCAAGGCTTTTAGCAGGCCGGCTATTTACTGAGCATATCAAAGGTGGCCCCGGGAGGGGGTGGGGGCTACAACCTCTGCTCTCAAGTCAGACGTGAGGGATCCGCAGTGATGGTGACATTGCCTCCGGAGAAGGCAGATTCCTCCCTTAGCGTGAATCAGTGCTGAGCCCAGCGACAGCCCTCTGCTTTGTTTGCTGTTTGCTCAGACCCAGAAACCTGAGCTCTTAGTTTTGTTTTTCCCCCTCTGCCAGCAGCAAATGCCAGTGGGTGCCACCAGGGGGTGCCGTTACTCCGCTTCCATTCGCAGGCGGAGCTCTCGCTCCTGTTCATACAAATGAACCCAGTGGCACTCCGTTGTTCAAGGATCAAATCAGCACAACTTTGACAGGTTTCCACTCGGAGCTCAATTATTGCTAACAAGCCATCAGAACGTCGTCGGGAGAGTTAAGAGACAGGTCCCTGGGCTCACTGTGAAGCGTCTGGGTTGTCTGAACCTGAGCAAAGGAGTAGGGAAGGGCTGCTCTCAGGTAAAGCGGTGGCTGTCCCTCCTTCCCGAGGCAGTGCTGTGGCCTAGGGCAGCGACCCGGTCAACCGGGAGGGACGTGTGGTCACATTCACTTCCTAATATCATTAGTATTTAAAGTTGCTCTGTTTCCTCCGTGAGAGAGAGAGAGGGAGAGACAGAGAGACAGCACCCCTGACAGGGTCCCCACGTTATATTCCACCTCCTCGTCTCGATTGTCTCTGGCCTGGGCACATGCGTGTGCCTGGCGTGCTCAGAGAGGGCTGAGGAGTGAGCCTGGGCCCTTTCCCGCGGGGTTCGCTGTGCCACCACCTGGCAGCCAGAGGGGCATCGAAACGCAGGTTCAGCTGTGGAATTTAACCATGTCACATTGTGTACGGAGGTGAGTTCGAACAGAACTATTTCCTGATAACAACTCAACATGTGGGTCGTGGGACCAGCAAGTGGCAAGGAGGATCAAGCAGCTGGGTCCCTCAGGGCTGACGTCGTGGTTCGAGCCCCAGACCTGGTGGCTTCAAAAGCAAGGCCCAGGTGCATGCCCAGAATCCCAACAAGAACGTGGGAGAGAAGCCACTGACAAAGCCATCTCCCAGGGGTGATGTCTCACTTCTCTCTCCATCTCTGTCTCTCTCTGGAGAGCACATGTGCCCTGTAGCAAAAATAAATAAAACAAAATAATAACAATACAGGTCCTTTGGCAGTAAAGGCTGTAAATCCAAAAAGCAGGCCCAAAGACTGAGGTGGAGAGGGTGAGGCTGATACAGTGTTTGAACCCTGAACCTCGTGGAGGAGCTGTTGCAGATCATTATCTCGGGTCCTGGTGAGCCAGACCATCTGGCTTCAGAGTGCACCCCACAGTCATTCGCCGGCTGGGTCTGTGTTCAGGTGTGTGCTCAGAAGTGCTCAGAGCTGCCCGTTCCCCACCCCGGGTCTGTTAGCACTCACTTGCTAGGCCACTCTTCACGTCAGATTTCTCTCACTAGGCTCTTCTATGTTGAGTTAACAGCGAAGACAGATTATCCTGCAACTTCCTTTAATAACGCAGATGAGCTCCCCAGCCCCTGGCTGCCCCGTGCCGCTGGCTGAACACATCTTCTGTGGAGCCAGATGGTCTGGTTCGGCCCCAGTCCTACCACTTCCATGTCGGCTGACCTGGAGGAAGCCCTGTCCCCTCTTTGCTGTCATTTCCTGGTCTGTAGCTGTGGACAACTCATGGCCACAAGGTTGTTAACAGGAGGGTTTGCCCTCTCGTGAGAACCTCATGCCATCACCACCGCCGTCACCATGAACCAAAGCCGAGGCAAGTCTCAGGTCCCTCACCACTAGAACAGGTGAGTAACCCGTGGGGAGTGGTGGCCATCCATCGAACGAGGGTGTCTCCATGCACACGCTGGTTACGGGGCTGGAAAGGCAGTGTGACATCATCCTCCAGGGGCCTGACAAGGGAACAAGGGTGAACAGTGACTGGTCCCCAATAAATGGCCCCCACATACTTACTGGATTGAGCGAAGGCGGCCGGAAGGGAGGAAACATGTTTCGACCCCTCACTCCCCTTCACCTTTGCCAGACTGTGTCCCTGTCTCTGCTGGAAGAGACACACGGGTCTCCTAGCCTATAGACAGGGAAGCAGCAAAGAGGGAAGGGGCTTCTTGAGGGCAGCCAGTTTGAACTCAAGGTGGGTGCCATATCTGCACCATGCTGTGCACGGGGCAGGCAGAGAGGCCAGCTGAAACATGTGGGCTATCAGGTTCTAGTGGGGGCCGTGGCCTATGGGTGGGAGCCTCGGGATTCTTGGCTGTACT